CACTGAAGGCTGTGATGGGCTGTGATGCCCAGGCGTACCCTTCTGCAGCTGGCACCAGCGCTGAGGGGGGACCCCATCACCGCTGCGCTGCGCCCAGGGGTGCTCGGCTCGCCTGCCGCTCCAGCCCCGAAACTACAGCAACAGTTCCTGGTGTTCCTGCCCTGCGGTGGAAAGAGCGAGGATTGATGGAGGTTTATTAGACACAGGGTGCTTTCCGCGGTGAAAGAGGCCCCGTCTAGCCAGGAGCTGGACTACCCTGCCATGCAGTCTCTGCTGTGGGCTGGGGGCCTGGTGCTGCGTGTCCCTGGGCTGGAGGTGCCTCCCAGCCCCGAATTGACTCTGAAAGGGCCAGTGGCTGTAAGGCTTATCATCAGAGCTGCAAAAGCTGGAACATTTCCATGCCCAGTTCACTGCCTTAATGCGATCAGACAGAAGGGCTGTGGAGCGCGTACCACAGTCGTGTGGGGACAGAGCTTTCCCAGAGTTCAGGAGACCAGGAGCCATCTTTATAGACAGTCCTTTTGGCAGTGACCTAGGAGTTTCCATCTCATCAGTGCCCCGTGGGAACTGCTGCGTGATTATTTTTTTCCAGGGCTTTGTCAGCCCAGTTTCACATGATGAAATTTGGCCTTGTTCTGTCCTAAAACTAGGATTCGTTGTTCCTGAATGAACCCTGCTTCTGAGAGTGGTTCTCCACCAAAATCATGTATGGGTTTTTGTTCTCCCTTTCCTAGGGTTGAGACAATTAAAAATCTTTGTTCTGCAAGGTGTTAGATACAGCTCATAACATGAAAAACTGATTGGCACAGCTCTTCATTCCATAGACATGTGACCTTGTCAACATCTGAGTGCTGGCTGTAGTTTTTCCTCCTGTCTATGCATTCTAAAGACTGAAATTTATTTTACCTTCTCTCCTTATATTCTCTTTGTTGTTAGAAAAGGAAAACTCAGCCCCAAAGACAGAGTCTGCAGATCAGCTGGTTCATTCTTTGGAGTCCAGTACTTCACAGAGCAGGTATGAAAATTTTTTTGTGTACTGTGGCCGATGTGCATGACAGTCTTTCACCCCTGTGACCTCCTCCATATGGCAGTTGATTCTGTGCAGGTGAAGATGAGGGACTGGAGACTGAATTGTCTGCTTTGGAACAGTATATACCAGAATCAGTATAGGAGGGGCTGTTCTTACAGGCTTAAGGTTGTTCTAAAGCTTATGAAATGATGACGTGTAGTTCATGGTTGAGCTATTCAAGTCACAGAATCATTCAGCTTGGAAGGAACCGTGCAAGGTTTTGTAGTCCATTGTAATAAACTTTCAGCAGGATAATTTCTCTATCCTGTCTGAAGGATACTTTAATAATTAAGCATTCCCACTGTCTATAATTCTGGTGGAAGCTGAGCAAGGAAACGCCTTTTACTGTTTTCTTGACAATGTTTTGGTTTTTTTTCTTCACTGTCCTTCATTAATTCTGCTGATCAACCCTGTTATCAGATGTTTGGCTTGTTATCTATTGGGCATGTGGTGCTCGTGGCCGAGTCATTGCATTGGTTATAAGCACTAATACTGTATGCAGTGGAGTTTTGTTTGCCATCATACATTTGTTGCACAGCATACAATTCCAGAAATGTGTGAGTTAATTACATCAGACAGTAGATAAACCGTAACCTCATTGAAAAAGAGGGTGGAAAAGAAATTCCATCAAAAATAACAAACAAACCACCCTGCTTACTGAAACAGCAGTTTGATGTCATCTTGGCTTGATGCTGATGACATCTGTATCAGCCTTCTTGACTCCAAACGTGTTCTTCCATCTCTTTATGATGTCCTCTAATTTTCTTCAAAGAGTTTACTATAGACTGTGAGCAAAATGGCCAAAGTAGATGCTGGATACTTGTGGGTGTTACCTGATAAATTTGTCTAAGTTAGATCTCCTTTTAAAGGGACGAGGGTGGTCTGAAAGGGTTGTGTGAGGAACAATCAGCTGAACCCTGTCTTTGTAAATCTGCTTATAAAGCTCGTTTAGCTCTTCCTAATCTTTCAGTGACACTCGAGCTTCAGTGGTGTCTGGAGGAAAAAAATTCCCAAGCTGTTAGCTCCTATGTTGATGGAGACCCTTTTGAGCAGATGTGTGCACCTGTGGTAGGTAGCAAGTGAGCAAATAGCCCTTCTAGGTGTGACCATGCAACTGCTAAGATGAAAACCAAATGGGCTGGAAAACGCTGGCTTAGAAGTCCATATTTGTCCTGGGCTGCCAGAGAAATTGTTACAGATCACTGCGAGAGTTCTTCCTTTAAAAAAATGTCCCCTCCAAGTGTCCCTTCTTTTCTTATATTGTCCATCTGCTGCCATTTTGTGTATCCTGATATTCAGCTCATTTGACTTGTTCTTACAGACCTGGTCTATCATGCCATTTCTAGAAAAGGAAATCACACTGTTGAGAGAGTTTAAGAAATGGCTTTATTTCTGGGTAAAATCTGTATCCCCATAGGAGTAAAGATTTAGAAACAAAAGCCACATCTACCCTATTCTAGTCTTCTCTATGGATGCAGCAAGGAATGTGTCTGAGTTGAGCTGTGTATGGGTTTTCTTAAATATTTTTTTAAACTATTCCACACTACACTGATAGTCTGCTCCATTGCTAATGAGAATATTTCTCACTTCTGAAAGGAGATATTTGAGGAAATGCGCATATTTTCCATTACTGCTGTGTTCTCATGTGTCTGATCCTTTAGACCAAGGCAGTTGAGGTTGCTCTTACAGTGCTGTGAGAAGGTTTTGCTTTCAAAAGGGTAACTGTTTCTATTGTTATTAAAGGCTAGGTTGCTTCTCGTGGAAGTTTCACATAGTATCTGAGAGTATGACAGAGGAAAGTCTTCTGGCATAAAGGAAGTTGTCCTTTCTTGAGCAAAATGTTGCTACTGATTTCTGCACTTAGTACAGTGCTGGTGAGCTACCATGCTGTGGGGCAAGTGCAGTGAATTACTGCCGTCTAAAGGATGGTAAATACAGAGTATTTCACTGAAGTTGTTCCCTCTGACTCCCATGGAAGATAGTCGCATGGAGATGATGGTAGGGCTGGGGTGCAAAGGGCTCCTTGTGTGGTTGGCAGGTGCTGACCACAGAAGCTTGTTCCCTTCAGTCCATTTGAATTTGAGTATCAGAGCAGAGTGATTCCTCTGCTGGTTGTGCCCTGGATGCAAGTGCTGAATTGTAGTGCTCTCTCCCTGAAAAGGTCACAGATTGGGTCGCTTGTGAGTGTGGGCACGACAGAGGATTCGAAGGAAGAAGCTGGTGCTTTGGAGGACCAGGAAGTGGCTGAACTAGAAGAGAAGTTGCCTGACCCAATCCAATCCCTCAAAGAGGTAGGTGGGTGTTTCTTATGTCTGAAAGAAAGGACAGAGGTGCAGCAATAGTTCTTCCACCTTACTGCTGTGCTTATGGCTATGGGACTGAGGCTTTAAGAGTTGTGTTAAGACACAAGTAGTATTAACATAGATTCAGTTATATTTTTTCTATACATTAGCAGGAGGTAAATGTTATCAGTCTGATTTGCAAAATCCCTCGTGTCTCTGGCTAGTCCTCACTTCCTTGCAGTTTTTGGCTCGCTGAGGCTTCAAGGTTATTCTTACCTTCTGCCTCTTGTCTGGGGCTTCTGAGAATTCCTTTCGTGCAGATTTATGGAAGAGGGAACTGAAAGTGACTCCGCTGTCTTTTGTTTCTTCTGGTGAGCAGCCAATTTGTTTGCATTACAGATACAGTCAGGAATACCTGTGCAAGTGGCATCCAGCTCAGGAGCTGTGAGTTTGCATATATAGGCTGGCCCTAGTGAATCGGATGGACTTTTAACTAGGATGCAGCAAATGGCAGTTTGATTGTGGCTATAGGCTAGATGCACACAGAGCTGAAACAGTCTCTGTAGAGAGGTTGTGGCTTGGGAATTCTTTCCAAGAGTAGTCAGCTAAATCTGTAAGGCTATTGTTTTGTCAAGAGGTGACAATTAACTCTGAGGCAGATGCAAAGATGTTCCTGCCCAGGGACTACTGGGGAGGCAAAGGTGTGTGTAATTTGTGAGACTAACGCAGTATTTGACTTCACAGTTCATGGCTTTGGTGCTATGGGGGAAATAATGCAGAGAGGTGTCTCAGAGCCAGCCAGTTCTTTTTAACTAATAGAAGCTTCTGCAGGATCTGACTTGGCTTCAGAAAGATGCGTGAATTACTAATGAATTGTTTTAAGTCCAGCTGGGGACTTTCTTACCATGATGGTCTTTGTGACGATGTTTCTTACGTGCTTTGTGCAGGAGGCTGTTGTCCGGATAACCAATTACCATGTGCCTCAAGGAGCAGGGGATATAGTCATGATTCAGTCAGATCACACTGGTGCTGTGGATATCCTTTCAGCTGAGCTAGAGACTGCAGACCTCCTTGGGGACCAGAGGAAAGGTGAGTCCTGAAAGGAAAACACTTGTTGGGGCCACTTGTTAAGTGCCTGGCCTGGGTAGAGAAGAGCAGAGGCTGTCCTGGATCTGCTGGAAATTTGGGCTTCTAGCTAGTGAGTGGGAAAACTTTGCATCCAAGGCTTCTGGGAGCAGGTTCCAAAATGCAAAAGCCTTATCAGAAATAGCTTCTCTGTTTTCAGGTAACAGTTTGTAAGTAGTGAAAAGTCGGGTGAGCCCACTATCTTTTCCCTTGTCTCAGCTCAGCCTCCCCCTCTGGCTCCACCCACGATGTGGACCACTGAGAAGACAAAGGAATTCAAAGCCAGGATGGGAAAGGAGAAGAATGGCCGGATGGTGGTGAAACGAGGCGAGGTGGTGACAGTCCGCGTGCCAACCCATCCTGATGGGAAATGCATTTGCTGGGAGTTTGCTACAGATGACTACGACATTGGGTTTGGAGTCTATTTTGACTGGACCACGGTTACTAGCACTGCCATTACTGTTCAGGTCAGTGAATCCAGTGATGAGGAGGATGAAGAGGAGGAGGAGGAAATTGAAGGTTAGTGCAGAGCTTATAAGGGTTAATTTGTGGTGCTTGTTGCCATGCTGCTGAGAGCGTCTGTCATGCTGTAATTTCCATCTACTTTGTTTAGTCAGCCCACTTATTATCTCTGCAGCCTTTTGGGTTCCTGGTTAGGCTGTGATGAGAAAGCATTTAGCTCTTCCTGCTTCAGTGTATGTCAATGGCTGTCCTTCTCCAAGAGCATTCTTAAAATTGAACACATTGAAAAATAAAATCACTTGTTCAACTTCTAGCTGGTAAAAAGATTAGGGTCTGAAATTTTAACTTGAATGTTTTTCTTAGCCTCTCAGACTGAGAAATTTCTGGTGGTGAGTAGGAGCAAAAAGGTTTTGTTTCTAGGATTGGTGGGGTTTTTTTGTTTGGCTGTTTCCTCCTCGTCCCCCACTCCCTCCCTGCCCTGTACATCAGTAGCTCCTGCTGGCTGCATTTGAGAAGAATGCTACCTGTGTCTTTGTACTTGTGAAACACACAGCAGTGTTGCCTGTTCTGTGGTGTCAGTGTACATGTGACCAGTGTAGCTGGGGGGTTGGTGTCTAAAATTAATTTTACGGGTTCTTCAGAGGGGTAGGTTCCTGTATGAAGAATCCTCTTGGAGAAGTGAACTGAAGACATAAACACAGTGAGGTTATAGCTAAGAGTTTTCCTGGGTTTCTTTTGCTTCAAGTCTATATCACTGACCACTGTTGTGTGTATAAAAGCAGTGAGGTGTCTAACAGGTAAGGCCAGGGAGAGGAGACCAGGCTGGCAGGCAGGTGGATACTGTCCCATCAGTATTCCCAAGAGAACTGGTTCTCAGCATGTCCTTTGTCATGGCAAGGAAAGCTGGACTTTATGGGTATTATTTGCAGAAAGGTCAGAGCAGATACTATGGGTAATGCTGTCATAGTTAGCCTTCCATATATCTGCATGCCTCTGCTGCATTCTGGTCGTGTTGATTTTTTTTTTTTTTCTGGACTACCTAGTGACTTAACTGGCTCTTGCATACTTACATGTCTTTTTCCCCCCATTCAGGACTTGCCCCTGTTGGTGACGTGGAAAGGGGCTCCAAAAGCTATCTGCGGAACCGCTACGGAGAGATCATGCCTGTATATCGGAGGAACAGCCATCGGGAGGTGCAGGCAGGCAGCCATGAGTACCCAGGCGAGGGCATCTACCTGCTGAAATTTGATAACTCGTACTCTCTCCTCCGCAATAAGACTCTGTTCTTTCATGTCTATTACACTAGCTGAAGAAACAGGCAGGGGCAGGGACGGCAGGCAGGTAATGATGAGTGTAGCAGGCTGCCACCCAGCCCTGGTACCACCTGATGGGCACTGCTGTGTGACAGAACCAAGGCACAGTTCTGCCAGCTCCTCTTCAGACACTAACTAGTTTCTCCCCACACTCTCCTTCCCTGCTGTCCCAGTGGAGAAAGGTAGTTGTGACTGCCTGGTTGTCCACAGGCAGCTGCTCTTTCTATAAAACTTTGAGAGGTCTGCTCCGCACAGGCATCGGGCTGGGCCTTCGTGTCACGGCCAGTAAACGCCCAGAGGCCAGGTTCAGGCAGTCATGGTTTCGATCTGTTGCGCTGGTATGAAATGAAGTGAAAATATTCTTGAGCTGTTACTATTTTGTGAATAACTTTTCCAACTCTCCTGCTGCGTCACTAGAGGGCAGCTGTCAGCTGCAATGAGCCAAAAGCACAGCTGGCTTGTCACCTAGCCACTGATAATCTCGTCACCTACCACCCCTGCATGTCACCAGCAGCCAGAGCTTCCTGCGCTCGCGTGGCGGCCTCGGCCGCGCCCCTGCCGCAGGGGCTAGGCCATGCTACACCAGGCGGGCCCCAAATGGAACAGGGGAGGGGGGGGTGCACACCTACAAATCCATAAGAAGGTTTTCCTACAGATTAAGAATTGGATCTTATACCTGTTGATGGTAGGGATATGTAGATGATTAAAACTTCAGCGACCACCAAAAGTTTTTTTTTCTGTAATCCAGATGTGAAGCAGAAGAAATTACTGCTGTGCTGCATAAACACAAAAAAGGTTGGAGTACAACCAATAAATATACAGGGAATGTTTCTAAGTAGCAGCATGTTGGTTCACTGGTATTGTAGCCAGCTGGATAATACTACATGTAGCAAGGAAAAGGTTCCCCAGAGAAGTGTAGCTTGTCGGCTGCTATTGCTGTTGCAAAGGTATTGTTAGAAAAGAACATCTCTGCTCAGAAACTCAAAAGGTGTAGGATTTAACCAATCTTTTCTGTGAACCAGAATCAGCAAGGCCATTGCTAACCCTGACCACATGGTAAAGGATGGAGTTCCTTGGCATGTTTTGGTAGCTAGCAATGGGATTAGTGATCACCTTCTGCTCAAGTACTGGCAGAGTTGAACAAGGATTAAGTTAATCCTTCAGAGATGAATTTTAAATCATGTTTATCTGTAACTTGTTTATTTTAATACTTTCAACTTGAAATCATTCTCTTTTCTAAGAATACTGCTGTATTTACATTTTGATACCTCTTTGCAGAGACACAAAATGTTTGTTTGCATGGTGATTCTAGTAGAGTTCTGAGTTTTAATTTTAAATCCTCCAGGTAAAGCACCTCTGCTTGGTCTGTTCCTTCTATTGAGAGGGAATGATGGACAAAATTATTTTGGGGTAGTTAAAGCCAAAGATTCCTCTCTCGTAGCAGGGCCGCATATTTCCTATTAAGCCTATATTGTAATTCTGTGCAATTTGCTCCATATTCAAGCTCTTCTTTTAACCTATATCTGCTTACTTATTCACTGCCCCAGAGCACTTAGTAGGTCAAAATGGTGAGAGAGAGAGAGAGAGAGCGCAGTCAGTCACAGGAGAGTGGAAATGCGAAGAACACTGGTTGGAGCACAGTGGCTTTCTGGGTGAGCAGGCAGGCAGCACAGTTGGTCAGGGTAAGGAGCAGAGTTGTTGCTGCTTGGGACCCTGAGATGGAGAGAAAACAGCCACCTTTCTCAAAAGAGCGAGAGTGTGTACTTGGGCAGTGGGGGAGCTGCAAAGCTGCCTTATTCAAGCAGGGGCAACCACAGGACAATCTTGCAGGGAGACAGAACAGTAGGGCTTGGTATCTGTCATTTAGCAGCTTGCGGAGGACTATTCCTTCCTTTAGCCTCTCTTGGGGGGAGATGAAGGACCATCTCGTGGCCTTTGTACAGCACTTGAATCAGGCCTGAGCAACTTGGATAAAGTGCTCTCTTTTTTTTAATCCTTTGTCTATCAATTTCCTAGACACTAAACAGAAGAAGATAGAAGATACCCTTCAGTCAGACCACAGTGTCAGCACTGCCCCACTCAATGACTGCCTTTGGTCCTCTGCTGTGAGATCCGCAGAACCCTGTGTGCACTTGCTGGTTAATATATGATACGCTGGCACCCACTCCGCTTTCTAATTAGGATTTATTTACGATGAAGGGAACTCTGACCTGTACATATATTAGATATTCCAGAATTATTGAGCCTCAGCTGCACGGCTTATTGCAGGCTAGTGGGTTATATGCACTAAAAACCTCTTTTATAGTGTGGCCTCCCTTTTGCTAACTTTGCAGCTACTTCCCCCTCCTGTCTGTGGGTTGCTCATATTAAGGGTTGAAATATATTTTGTCATGTTGTAAGAAGTTAATAAGGCCTGCCTCACAGCCAATTTTGATCACTCACTGACAAATAGTATGTGCCAGTTTTCAAGCCATTAGTTAGTGCTTTTAGTTAAGATAAGTTGCACTGTAGGTGGTAATCCTATTGCTCAATTCTAGCTTTCTGAAGTGTGAACTGACCTTTAAAAGGCTCAGGTCACTTGTTTGGAACTGTGCCCGTCTCCTAGTCTCACTGACTTAAGCCCAACGGCAGCATTGAATATGGTATGTCATCCCAAGCAGCATGTGCCCAGTCTGCACATGCAGTGTGCCCATAGATAGGTCTGCTGCAGTGCAACTGAAAGCATTCGGTGTGTGTTAGTTCACTGCTTAAGTTTCCCAGAAGTATCTGGTATCTCTTATGAACACAAGGTAGTTCTAGGCACAGAGTATTTCATCTGCAGGAAACAGAAGCTTCACAGTTGTACAGGATAATTCCTCTTTTTGTTTATTTTTTTTTTTAATTTCCACATTACATGAGTATTTTGTTTCTCAGGTATTCAGATAGCATTCATTATCCAAGACAACTTCTCTTTGGAAGGATATATAGTCTTTAATTTTCTGATAAATCCAATAACTTGGCTGTGTGGCTAGTGATTAACAGCAGCCACTCCCATTTAAAATCAAACCCATAGTTGGTCTAAAGAAGTAGTCTTATTTCTCCTCTGTCCTTTTTTTCAGTTTGGTGTATCTCCTGGATTTGTATCCAATCCTGCTATGTGGCTGAGGCAGTGATGGAAACCCTTATGATTTTAACTTGAGACCTTTGGAACTAGACCTTTGGTCTACAAAGAAAAATGAATTAAAAAGGCAGTTGCACTTCAGAGAGGGAAGTTAATCCTCAAGAAAGGAAAATTCCTTCTTTGTTTCTGTGGAAGGAAGATTTCAGATAGGTTTTTAAAATGTGTTTCTTCTCCCTGTAAATTGTGTATAGAAATTCAAAAAGCTAAAACAAGGAAGAAGCTTCTTTTGCATTTTGGGTTTGCTTTTGTGAAAGCGCAAAATTATTTTCCATTTTGTTTTGAATATAATTTAGATATAGAAATAAGATTTACATGTTCAGTCAGAGATATAAGACAGTCCTGTAGGGCAAGACTTGTACAAAAATGAGCTTGTATAATTGTTTATAATAATGGTAACAATCTGTTGGGCATTTATTATGTCAAAGAAGGTCATAAGCTCTCCATTGTTTTCCCTTTTCCCTTTAGGTGTAATGTAACAGCAGGAGTTTAAAATGTATATATTTTACTGAGGACAGAGAGTTAAAATTGCTTAAATCAGGCACCACTTGTACTGATTTAGTTTACTCACAAACTCTTTGGAGGACTGTAATATGGATCCTTGTGGAAGGTTATTGGTGTCAGACATAGGCTAGTTGCAAATTAATCCTTGGGACCCATATAATAATTACATAGATTATTATTGGTAATGAGCTGTTTACATGAACAGGTAAGATGAAGATGCACAAGAGAAAAAGCTTAGTTGTCTGACTTCAGGTGCTAAGAAGAACGTCAAGTTACTATGCAACTGAGTCTAAAAGACAGCCACACACCTTTCTTTTTTGGCTGTGCGCTTGTCTCCTTATAACTGTGTGTGTGCATGTAACCTCCATCTGTGGCCTGCAGTGAATCAGTTATCGTGGTGCTGGACCTGGTGAGGTGCATTAGAGGTGCACCTTGTCACATGTCTAGTTGCTGAAAGACTTATTCCATCTTGTGGGAAATTAGGGTAAAGAATGAATCCCTAAATGAGTTCACTTTTATCCCCACTGCTTATACTGTTCCTTGTCTCACCCTACTAAAGCCACTCTACAGAGGAGTTATCACAAGGTGCCTTAGGAACAAGGAGCATGTTTGAAATAAGAGCCATAGATGTCATTAATCCAAGGTAGTTCTTCTCCTTGTTTCTCTGCCCATTTGGGTAGAGGGGAGGCACTTCCTAAGGTCAGGCAAGGAGAGCACCTAAAAGCTGTTCGTTAGACAGCCTTGTTGCTGTAAGACGAGTAGTAGAATGGTGTCTGAGTTTCCTGGTGCCCTAAGATCTATGCCTTTTAAAATCATATGCTGCTGTCAGATATCGAGGACCACCAGAGGACTACTCCTTTTGATGTGCTGATGCTAAACCTGAGGAACACTAGAGGGACGTAGAAGCGCATTCCTTGTGGCCATTCATCATTTTTTCTAAGAAGAGTGTCTAAATCCAGCATTGTGAGTAGTGTGTGCTTATGCGTATTGAGGCTGGATAAGAGACCACAGCAACAAAGTTGGTTTTTTGATCTACAAGTATGAAAGAAAAGACTGTTTCTCCTTTTCTCATATATGGGAAAATATTGGCTGTGATAATGTCATGTAGATATTACAGAACATCTCCATTGGTAGAAGGAAAAACTGGGAACCGATTGTGTTAAATACATTGGCTAATGAGACTGTGAAAGAAGCCAGTTTAGTGGGAGTCAAAGTGTTAAGTCATCTAAATAAGTTGGTTTGCAGTAAATACGAACTAATTAAATTTTTGGAAGGTACGTAAAACTGCAGAATTCAAATGCATCGTTCTAGGAGGAGAATTTTCTGTGGGGTTGTTCCACATTTGCCTCCAAAGAGTGTCTGGCAACTTATTCTGAAACACTGGTGCTGTTGCAGCTGAAGACACAACATCAGGCCAGGTGGACGATGGGTCTGACTCCCCTTGGCTTTTCTGCATTCCGTTTTGCATTTTACATGTTGCTTTTTCAGAAGCTTCATCACAAGAAATGTACCCTTTATCAGGCAGGAGAGAGGAAGAATTTCGTGATCCATCAGTGAGGGTTATCTGGTTTAAGCCCATCTGGACTGGTGAGCCAAGTCCCTTGAGCAAGAAGCTGGATGCCAACCATTAAGCTCAGACCTAAGAAGGCTTTGCCAAGTAACGACCTTGAAGTTTAGGAGCTGCGTTTGGAAATTATAAATAGCTGGATATAGTC